TTTTCTCTTAAGCCCTTTAAAGGTATCAGCTCCAGGATTTTAAAGGATGGCTCCAGGATCAGCCTTGGAAAGCCCTAACCCATTTCCATTTTGTTGTATTCTAGAATTTTTTAAGTACAGGAATGCATGGTCAGGTTTCTAAACTAGACTGTGGTACACATTAAATGTTTCATCTCTGTCCCCTAGTTCCTGGCACAGAACTTCTAAAATCCTTGGAGTTCCTTGAGTGATAGGGGTAAATTTTGTAGCTAATGAGATGACTGGTCGCTGGTGACCTCTCCATCTCAAGGATGACAGCAGGTCAACAGGAAGACTGAACTTCGATTAGAGTTGAAACTTTGAGCCCTACCCGCTGACCTCCAGGTTAGAAAAGGGGCTAGAGATCCAGTTCAATCACCATTTAATCATGAGACCTCTATAAAAACCCTAAACCATGAGTTAGGAGGCAGCGTTGTCAGACAAGACATGGAAATTGTGTACCATGATCCCACCATACACTGTCCTATGCATCTCATCATCTGGCTGCTCCCGAGTGATGATCTTGGTAAAACTGGTACATATGGGTATAACAATTCTCTGAGTTGTAGGCCGCCTTTTCATGAATAATGCAAGCCGGGTGGAGGGGCAGAGACTCTTGGAAACCCCTGCATTTTCAGACAAATCTGGGAATTCAGGGTACCTGGGACCTACGACTAATGTCTGCAGTAGGGACAGCCTTGTGAGCCTCAGCCCTTCATATGTGGGCTCTTGCTAACTGCATACACACAGTGTCAGAATTGGGCTGAAGCGTTGAGCTCCCACTGCATACACACAGTGTCAGAATTGGGCTGAAGTGGCGTTGGAGAACTGGAGACAGATCACTGGTGAGTAAAGGAAGAACATAGATCTGAGGGGGCAAAACAGAAGCAGAGTGAACCATCATGGTTTCTGCAGGTGGCCAGGAGAACATAGATACAGATGAGGGGAACCATCTTCAAAATATTCAAGGGGCAAAATCGGTAGGATGTGGAAGTATACAGGGTATGCAGGATGGAAGAGAGAGGACACAAATTTCTTGGTTATGAGTCTGGATAGATGGTGGCATCACTAAATGAGACAGAATATAAAAAATGACGGGATGAAATAAAAGTTCTGTTTTAGACGTACTGATTTTACAGCTTTGGGTGACTGGCCAGTAGGTACTTAGGTACACAGCACAGGAGTTCAGGGTACTGGGCTACCAGGAGAGATACAAGGTATAGGTACTGAGGAGTTTGCCTGAGGAGTTTGACTCTGAGGCTCCAGAGAAATGGCCTGGCGCAGGGGATCACCTCCAGCCTGGCCAGTGAGGAGCTAGTGATGAGCCAGGGAAGAGAAGCCAGAGACAGGAGAAGAAACTAGGTTCCTACCTCTCACTCTATTAAAATTATATTGAAATGAATCAAAGACCCCAATATAACAGCAAAATCTTTGAAACTGTTGGAAGATAACATAGGGGAAACACTGGAAACCATGGGCACGGCGAAGACTTACTGACTAGGACTCCAGTAGCAGAGGAAGTAATAGCAAGAATCAGCTGTACCAAATTAAAAGTTTCTGCACAGCAAAAGAAATACTCAAAATAGTGAGGAGACTATATAAATGAGTAATCTCTCCCAAACAACGATCCAATAAAAAACAGGCAAGTGAATTAATCAGACACTTCTCAAAAGAAATACAAACGGTTAATAAACATATGAAAAAACATTCAACATCTTTAGCTATTAGGGACGTGCAAAACAAAACTACTCTGAGATTCTCTCTCACCTCAATCAGAATGGCAATCATCAAGAAAGCACGCACGCACGCGCACACACACAGAGCCAATGAATGTTGGCAAGGATGTGGGGTGGGGAGGAGGAGGAACCCTTCTACATTGTGGTAGAAATGTCAACTCATATAACCACTATGGAAATCAGTATGGAGATGCCTCAAAAAGTACAAATAGAGATACCAATTGACCAGCTATGCCACTCCTGGGTATATTCTTGAACGAATAAAAAACATCATACTACAGTGATACATGCATACTCACATTATAGCAGCCCAATGCACAATAGCTAAACTGTAGAAACAGCCTGGATGCCCTTGAACAGATGAATAAAGAAAATGTGCTAGACATACACAGAAGAATATTACTCAGCTGCAAAGAATGAAATCATATCATTTGCAGGAAAATGGATGGAACCCAAGACTATCAAGCTAAGCAAGAGAACCCACACTTAGAAAGTTAAATATCATGTTTTCTCTCACATGAGAAACCTAAAATGTAAGTAAATAAATGACTGAAATGAACAAGAGATGATAGAGAACTGGCAAGTGGACTCTGAGAGATGGAGAAGGGGGTCAGGGGAGGTGGAGGAAAAAGAGAGGGGGTAAAGAGAGGGAAAATGATCAAGATATGCTATATGAATGTGCCAATTCCCCAAAACGAACATCACCACCCTGTATTAGAAACATGCATTAATGAAAGAAATACAGTCCCCAAGGTCATACTGCCCTGACCCACCCCAACTAGGCCCTACCGTCTAAGTTTCCACGAATGACATTAAATTCTGACCTCATCAATGGATTAATCCGTGGATGAAGTAGAAGCCTTAATGATCCACTCATCTTCTCAAGGCTTCTACCTGTGCACATGTGAAGATTTTGGGTGACATTAGATCAAACCCTAATAGGCATCAACAACCAAGAGAAGATAAAACATAATAATGACAAGTGAGGGCTTGGGAGTCAGACTACCAGGTTTCCTAGGCTTGAGCTATCATTATTCTCAGTGGCTTTATCTGGGGCAAGATATTGCCTACAACCCTCAGCTTCTTCTCTATAAAATGGAGCACCTACTTCAGAGGACTATTGTGAGAGCTGAGTGAATTTAATAAAAATTGTCCAGAACAGCACATAGTAAGCGCTCAATAAATGTTATCTATTCATAGTACCGTTATGATTATCTATGAAATTAGTATGACAAAAAGATTGGTGTTTTGGAAAAGACTTTGAAGAAAAAGATGTTTACTGCTGTTAAGAATGTATCACTTTTCACCAAGAACTTTGATAGGGATTCAAACACTGTGTATCTCTCAAACAAGCAATTTTCAGTCCTTAGGAATGTATCTTACAGAAACAATCAGACATGTACATTTTACTCACCAGTGGGCTTACCAAGCACTTGCTTAAAGATAACACTCAAAAGTGGAAATAAGTGAAATATCTAAGGAGAGGAGGGTAGTTAAATGAATTATTATGCATCAGATCATAGAGAAAACAGGACAACCAGATCTAGTTCACCTCAAAAACCTGCTACCCCATGGTTTCAGCTTGCCGCTTGGTTGTTCTGTGATTGTGCCTGTGTGCCAAGTGTTTCCGCCCGGCCGCCCAGAGCTGAGCCTGGCACAGCTGGCAGCTCTTTCTTAGGTGCCAGCATGGAGATGGTGCAGTCATTCTGGCCACAAGCAGTCATCACATGTAAGTCTGACCACTGTGGTGCTGTCCCCTCTACACACAGAGCTCAGGAAGGCTCTCACTATGTCCCTGCCGCTCAGCAGGGTTCTCCTGTCAGCACTGCTGCGGCATGAAACATTCACAGCACGTATGATTAAGTCGCTTTCCACTATGAGGCCCTCTCCTTTTTAAATTGTTTTCTGGGTGCTAACTTCCTCTTGCCTAAAGACCAGCGGTTGACTCTTGATCTGTAGTTCATGTTAGTCAGCTTTCTGTTACCTGAACAAATACTTGAGATGACCTGCTTAGAAAGAGAAGAAGTTTATTTTGGCTCCCAGTTTTGGAAGTGTCAGCATACGCTGAGTAGACAAAGTGCATTTAGGCCGCTGGTGTATGTGGGGATAGCACATCATACTGGAAGCACACGGAAGAGCAAAGCCATTCATCTCGTGGCCAGGACAGACAGAGAACAGACTAGAGTCCCACAGTCCCCTTCAAAAGCACAGCCCCCAGTTACCTAAAGCCTCCCATGAAGCCTTTAATGCATGGGCATTTCGGGCAGATTCCAGATCCAAACTACCGCAGAGCCGGTATCAATATGTGTAAGATGTAGATGCTCGAGTCACATTGGTCCCCTTACACCAATCTGTACCCCACTGCACTCCTTCCCAGTTCCATGGACTCCCATGGCACCTTCTGTGCAAGTTTTCTGACTCCTTGTAGCTGGCAACCCAAAGCCCCACGGGAAAGAATAACTGTTCATACAGAATGGGGCCTTAGTGCCACTCAGCTGTATCCTAGCGAGTTAGAGGGCATGATGAACTGTAGGGAGGGGCAGCTGGCTTTGGCAGTAGAAGGCTTTGAGAGCTGCCACTGCCACCATCATGGATTCTCCTTGGTAATCCAGATGCCTGGGCAACACCCTTTTCCCCCAAAGACCACAGGCACAGTGGCTTTGACTTTGCGGGCATTAGTCCTGAGAGGGTTCCTTCCAGCTCTACTGCAGCCATGAGCCCAGGTGCATTTCAGAGCCACACACCGTGCCTGGCTTCCTGCTCACCTCCAAGTGGCATCTGGAGAAATGGTGACTTCATCTTGCTGCAGCTCTGCTAGTATGAAGGGAACTGCACTCAGCAGTGAACATGCCTGGTGGCTGGTGCCATTTGTCACTTCTTCCAAGGAAGGTGTGACACACACAGGCAAGGTTGAATGCCTTGTCCCAGCAGTGCCCATCAAAATATGCAGTGCTGTCTAGCCTTAAAGTCACAGCACCAGTGACTGATCTCATTGTTCAACTCTCCCTCCTGCTTACTGGCAGGACAATGTGGTTAAACTGAGCTGAGACCAAGAAACATTTATTTTTCGGCATCTCCTTCTGGGTATCATACACACTGTTCTGCATCACTCCTAAGTCTTGGGCATGACCAGAACACTGCAGCATTTGTAAATGTCTCCCCGCTGAGGGTGGCTGGGTGCTCATGGGACGGACTGCACCTAGCCCAGCTGCTCCTGGAAGAAGGCGAGGGTTTGTGCATGCTCACCTTCACCCGGTCCATGCAGGCCTCCATCTTCAGCTGCTCCACAGCCTTCCGGGCCTGGGAGATACTAGTGGTACTGTTATTGGACATGCCCTCTTTCATTCTCTGGCCCCTGCAAGCAGCCACAGGCAAAGGGTTGGAAGTGCAGCTCTCGAGTGCAAGAATAAGACAGACCCCATCTCACCTCACTTATCTCCCACCATCTACCGCTTCTCTGTTCCAGCCAGCCTGGCTCTTCTAGAAGGGAAGGAAATTCTCCACAGCCTCACACATACTGCTGCCATGTGACTAAGACAAGACATGCAATGTGACCTGTCCCCAAGAAAGCACAAGCACTGGATCACAGTTACCTCATCTAATGGAAAACTGCTCAGATGAGGCCTAATGATCAAAGTGTGAGTATCGAGGATGGACCACTGCAAAAAGTGACACAGAGCGTGGCTCTGAAATGCACCGGGGGTTGTGGCTATAGTAGAGTCCCAGACAGACCTTGTGGGGAGGCTTTAGAGCAACGCTTCCCCACTCTAGCCCAGGGCCTTTCAGGCTCCCCTTGAATAACATCCCTGCCTCTGCTGCCTACCCAGATGCTGGCCTTGTGTGTGACCTCATGTACGTTCCATCCACACACACCCGTGTGTGCTATACATCGCATCTTGGCCCAAAGAAGGAAAACAATTTGGGGCAAAGCGGAACTGCAACGAAGCTAAACATGCCTGCCAGCTCCCATGGACACTGACTCCCTGCCTGGCTTTCAGGAAGATGAGTCCAAAGGAAAAAAGCCACAAGCCGCAGTGCTCCCCTGGCGCTATGTGATTACAAATTTCTTCCTTCCAGGGCACACGGGAGATACCTGCACAGACAGGTGGCCCAGGGGCTGTACCAGTGGCTCCCAGCTCAACAAGTGTGGAGTCAGGGTGGGACCAGGGCAAGGCGGCTCCATCCTCAGTGCTGTGGTTCGGACCTGACTCGGGACACAGCATTTAGAACCTCTAGGAAGTGTATGCCAATGTGCCTCCCTACACTCTGGTGTCCCAGTGGCCCTATGTCAGCAATGGAAGTTGGTGGGGGGCAGGGTGGTGATCTTCCCCGGGGAGGGGTGCAGAGCTAGATCTTGATGCCTGCTCTCCAGAGAGGACCGGGCCTGAGTAGGAAAGTCACACCCCTTACCTGCTGAGAGGTGCCACAGCGACAGGCCCAGGTAAGGGACGCAGGCTGGCGGAAGCAGCAGTCAGTTGGCAGATGACAGGCTGGTTCAGGGCTCACCTGTAAGCACAATCAGAGATGTGGCCGTCACTGTCCCTAGCAGTTCCCACACTGCCCCTCCCCTCCACAGCAGCACAGCAGCTCTCGAGGTGAGGGGAGATGGTGAACTAAAGGCAGAAAGAGAACCTCTGAGGTGACAGGGAGAAGATGGGGGACATAGTCTTGAGGTCCTGGCTGCTGGGGGCCTCACCTGACAGGCCCCCCCCCCCCCGCTGACCCTCACACCCTCGGTCTCTCAATCTCACAGTTCTAGCTCCAGCTAATGCCTGCCAAATGGGAGGTTCACATGGTTTTTTCTTTCTATGAAAATGTATGTCCAGTGAAGATAGTGACCACCACAACCACAACCACAAAAACGAAGACCCATTGCAAACCCTTTCCCTAGATGACCATGCTTAGCAGGCTGATGCACGCTCATCCCTACATGCATCAGAAATAACCAGATTTCAAGGCAAGTACATGTCTAGGTCAGACGACTGCGAAAGTCATCCACAGAGTGACAAAGAGCCTTTTCCAGTGTAGACGGACTCCTCCAGGTTCGCTGGCTCCAAGATGATGCTATTTCCAAAAGTTCTGTATTCTTCCCTCAACCATGGATCTAGTGAATCTACAGCAAAATCGAGCCTGACAGGAATGGGGTGCCAGGCCCATTTGCTCTGACGGCTAGAAGGGAATCTAAATTCATTCTAATGTGAACATTATAGAAGATGCCTTACAACGGTGTGTGGTGTGTTTTTCTTAGCCTGTGCTATGGTCTGAATGTTTGTGTCCCCTGCAAACTCTTATTTTGAAATACTCACACCATGGTGATGGTATTAGGAGGTCATAAGCAAGGAAACCTCAGGATGGGCCTCATGCCTCCTAGAAGGGGCCTGAGAGCGACTCTGTCCCTTCCACCAGGTGAGGACTCAGCCTCCAGCTATGAATCTGAAAGTAGGCCTTGAACAGACACAAAGCCCACCAGCAGCTCTGTCTTGTACTCCTAGCCTCCAGAAGGGAAAGGAGGGAATTTCTGCTGTATATAAGCTCCCCGACCCATGGAACACTAAGCCCCTCCAACGTTTTTACAAACATCACATGCCTACTGCTGCAAATGCAACTGCTTCTTTGTCAGAGCATAGTAGTCTCCCCCTCACCTGTGGTTCTATATTCTGCAGTTTTGGTTGCCCAGAGTCAACTATGATCTGAAAATACTAATGAAAAAATTCCAGACACAATTCATACTTTTTGGGGGGCGCTGAGACAGGGTCTCACTGTGTAGTTCAGACTGGCTTTGAACTCACTATGTAGCCCAGGTTGGCCTCAAACTCACAGCAATCCTCCTGCCTCAGTTTAAGTGCTGGGATTACAGGTATGTGCCACCACATCCAGCACAATGCATACATTGTAAGTTGAGTGCTGCTCTGAGACCATGATTAAACTGTATCATAAATAAGTATATATGGAAAAAACATATTCCATATAGGGTTCAGTACTGTCCATGGTCTCAGTCATCCATGAGGCATCTTTCTTCCCTGGTTGCTCTGATGTTTCAAGTATTATATTAAACAAGTGATGACAGTGGACATCCTTGTCTTGTTCCTGATTTTAGAGGAAAAGCTTTCAGCTTTTCCCAATTTAATATGATATTAGCAGTAAGTTTGTCATAACTGGCTTTTATCAGATTGAGATAAGGTCCTTCTATCCCCTTTTGCTCAGGGTTTTCATCATGAATGAATGTTGGATTTTGTCAAAGCCTTTTTTGGGTCTATTGAGATGTCATGTGAGTTGCTTCTCCTTGTTTCTGTTTATATGACGTATTACATTTATTGATCTGCATATGTGGAACCATCCTCATGCAAGGACTTTAGACATCTTCCTTGTATCACTGTCACTTCTCAAAATAAGAGAAGTGGTTGGTACTGTTGGGACTCAGGCCTTGACAGGTTCTCTTGATCTTGTTTCTGGAGAAAGTGGCTTTCTTAATGGCACTAAATTTTGCCATGATGGCTTCAAAAGCTGCTTTCCTTCCTAAAGAGAAGAAAATATGGTCATCTCTAAATAAGATAATCATTGTGAGGTCATGAGAGATCTACTACTGGGCTGTCTGGGAGCCCCTTGAGGGTGGATGCTATTTTATTGGCTTCTGCATCCCAGGGGCCAGACAGAGCAAGCAGATCCCAGATGGCTCCTAAAAGTAACATTCATGTATGTGAGAGAACAAAATCAGGCTTCAGCGGTGACTTCCACTCCACATGGCTGCTGTTATTTCAATCCTTAGTAATATTTTTTCCTTAAACATCTGGTAAAATTCACCAACAAGGCTATCTAGGACTAGACTTTTCTTTGTGAAAAGGTTTTAAACTTACAAATTCACTGCTGTTAGTAGGAATAGTATTATTCACTTTCTATTTCTTCTTGTATGAGCTTTGATTGTGTCTTCCATGGGGTTTTTCCTTTAGCTAATGAACTTATGAGCATATAGTTCTTTGTCAAATTCTACTTTTTATTCATGTAGGATCTGTAGTGATATCTCCTTTTTCATTCCTGACATTTATAATGTGGGTATTCTCTCTTTTCTTGGACAGTCTGGCTAGAGTTCTAACTGTATGGGTCTTTGTGGTACACACCTGCAATCCCAGGAGGCAGAGGCAGGAGGACTGCCATGAGTTTGAGGCTGGCCTGCACTACACAGTGAGACCTTGCTTCCAAAAAAAATTCCCTCTAGGTGTCATTCTTTGTATTGCTTTTCTACCCTTAATTTGTTTTTTTTTTTGTTTTTTCTTTTTTTGGTACCAGGAATTGAATTCAATCTCATGCTTGCCAGGCAGGCACTGTGCCGCTGAGCTATATCCCTGGCTAATTTTCCTCCTTTTTTTCTTTCTTTTTTTTTTAAAGACAGGGTCTTGGGATGTAGCCCAGGCTGGTCTTGATTCATGGTGACCATGTGCCTCAGCTCCAGAGTGCATTCCTGGCTTATAAGAAGGCTGATGGAGGAATGGAGTAGTTATTTCTGTTATATTTTTGAACCTGCATTAATAGAATGGGCATCTGAAACTAGTGATCACAAACTCACAAGGACTCCACAATTTCTAAATGCCAAAGGAGGAGAGTTGGAGGGTCATAGCGTTTGTCTGATGGAGGGAGCTGGCCCAAGTTTGAAGGCCTTGGGCACAGGTGCCCTTTCAAAGACAGTCTGGTACTTCAGCTTATCTCAAATTCTACTTCGCATGATGTTTTTTACACAGAAAAGCTATTTTTATAAGGTGGGAAGTGGCCGTTAGAGAAAAATGAGTTTTGAGTTTCCCATGCAATTTTAATTGAAAAGACAAATGCTGTCATAGTCCAGCTCCTAGCATTATTCAAGAATGAATTTTCTATAAACTTTTTTTTTTTTTTTTGAGACAGGGTCTCGCTCTTGAGTTCAGGCTGGCCCTGAGCTCACTTTGTAGCCCAGGCTGGTCTCGAATTCACAGTGATCCTCCTGCCTCAGCCTCCCGAGCGTTGGGACTACAGGTGTGCGTCACCACGCCCGGCCCTCTATAATCAATCTTGGGGCAAATCATCAATTTTTACCTTCCTAGACAAGTAAAGTTTTTAAAAAGTTGACTTTGTCCTAAGGTTTGAGAGTTTTACTTCACATTGTGTGTGTGGATTTATTGCCCATTTCACTGGCTTTCTGTAAGATTTGGCAGGAGACTCCATAGACAGATCACAGAAGGTTATCTGTCACCTCTGGCTCTACCACTGGTCCCTTTGCTACCATGTTATTTGTCTGGGCCAACAGTGCCGTCTGAAACAGTCCCTGCACGCCAGAGGAGGACTGGCAGCAAACTGCAGCTCTCAGGGCATCTGTGACACACTAGTGACTTTCTTGAGCCTAACAAACAGCTGACCTCACAAGAGATCCACAGAGGGACCAGGACCCATCGTGAGGGGAATAGCAAAATGTAGGCAGCTGCCAGGCTGGAGAGGGAGGAGTCCCAGGAGCATGTGAAAACCCACCAGGCAAAGGTATGCTAGGCCTTGAAAGCGGGGGAAAAAAAGAATGACGCTTTTTAGAGACAGACTCTGTGACCTTCACAAAACCACCCAAGTGGTCTCCCTTGCTGTTTGCCATAAGACAGTACTTTTCTCTCCCACCTTCCCCATCTTTTGCTACCTTCTCAGTGCTTTTTAAAAAACAGACTTTATGTTTTAGGGCAGTCTCAGCTTCACAGTAAAACTGAGCAGAAAGTACAGAGTTCCCATATGGCCCCCGCCCCCATACAACTCACACAGCCTCCCCCCCCACACCATCCCACACCGGTGACACTGGGTGACAGTGACCCACAGAGACACAGCATCATTACCCGAAGTCCAGAGCTTACTTTGGGGCTCTTACTGAATTGTTTCTTCTGTTTGCTTTTGTTCTGGCAGCTCTGGAGACAGAACCCAAGGCCTTGTGCATGGTAGGCAAGTGCTTGGCCCCAGGCCTCGCTCTTGGTGTTGTACATTCCGTGGGTCCCCACAAATTTATAATTGTCCATCTCTGTAGTGTTGTACGGAACACTATCCCTGTCCTGAAAATTCTCTGTACTCTACCTACCCCTCCCTCCCTGCCAGCTCATGGCAATTACTGATCTTTTTATGGAACCCATAGTTTTGACTTTTCTAGAATGTCATATAGCTGGAAATATACAGAATGTAACCTTTTCAGGCCATCTTCCTTCACTTCAGAATATGCATTTAAATATCTTTCATGTTTTCTCATGGCTTCATAGCTCATTTCTTATATGTCTTATTTTTAAATTTTTAAAAATTTTGAGACAGGATCTTGCCAAAGCCTGGGCTCAAACCTGGGATCCTCCTCCCTTAGCCTCTGAGTGCTAGGATTACAGGTGTGCACTACCATAGCGGGTTCATAGCTCATTTCTGTTTAGCACTGAATAAACCCTGTTGTCTGGGTGTACCCATATATTTGTCTGTTCATCTACTGAAGGACATCTTGATTGCTTCCACATATTGGCAATGATGGATAA